TTTCTCATACTTCCAGGTTTGCTAGCTTTTGAGCAACCACTACAGTGGTTTGATCTTCCTGTTGGTGATGATACGGGGCTTCCACAGCCCTGCTGCACTGGACTGCTAAAGTTGCCAAAACCATTTTCTTAATTAAAGACCCTTGAAGACCCTGATTCTCATCCCATCATTAGTATATCAAGTGGGTGTGGTTGGAATCTGTTTAGAACTTGGTCTATCTGTGAACAACTCTAGGTTATGTGGCGTAGAAGGAGAGGAGGGTTATGGAGCTGCAGACCCATGCACCCAGCATTTTCTACTTTCCATCCAGCAGTCATTCTATATTCACCAAGAGCAGATATTTAGGCTCAGAAATTATTACTTGGTAAGTATCTCTTCGGAAAAGCACTTGTCAGGTAAACTTGTGTGTAGAGATAGAAAAGATACTCAAACCGATTCAAACATGAAAAGCGATTCTAGATCTGCTGTCATCTCTGAGTCATGGGGTGGGGAGTGCCCAGCCTACCTGATGCTTGTCTGCTGCAGCTGGGTCACTGGCCCCTTGCTAGGATGGTTAGCCTGTTTCTATCATCACTACAACAATATCTCTTGCTTTTCATCAGCACAAGCAATATAAAACTGAACATGTGGTCATCTCTTACTTCTCTGCAAGCTGGCTCTTCAGTCAATAAGTTCTGCTTGGTATAGGCACCCACAACTCTGAATCGCCACATGGCTTGGGGTCAGCTTTTCATCTTATCATGCAAGATTGGTGCAGGCTTGCATTAATACTTGAGTTGCACGCCACACACAAATCCTGGGTAGTGTAGAGTCTTTGTCTAGAAGTGTCTCCATCCCAACCTGTCCTGGAATATGTGAACAGTTTGCCTTAGACATCATGTTTTCCTAAGTCAAAGCAACAGTGATTGATTTTTTTCTTCTTAAAGAATGAGTCATTATGTTTAATTAAAAATCTGCCTTCTTACAGCCATCACATCTAGGTCAGGTGGTTTGGGGGAGAGAGAAGGGAGCCTGAGTTAAATCACAGCCTTGCCAAGTCAGAGCTGAGTGACCGCCAGCAAAATCTCTCACCCCTGGGACTCAGTTTATCAACCACGACCATCTTTGTGGCACACAATGTGTGCCAAATACTGCAAATTATTTCATTAATAAACGTCACTGCTCCAGAGGGAAGGACCATTGTTTCCTAAATTTACAGAGGAAGAAATGAGCAAAAGTGAGATAATCCAAAGAGTGATCAACTATGATTGTTACATTTCCGGATGATAAACTAATCTGTGTCTCAATAATTTCCTTGTCGGGGTCAAGGTCTCAGTGCCAAGGAGTTGCACAGACTAACCCCACACAGAGGTGGGCTAGGGCCATCGCGCTCTTTCTTACCCATTCACACTGGCCAAGATCTCTTGACATGCTTTACTCTTTCATGGATTGAATCATCCCTCCAGGATGCTTGGAAAAGAAAATTATAATTGTTTGAAAGATCAAGTACTGCAGTGAAGAGGAGTGGGCTGTGGGGGAGAAACTATGAAAAGTGGGGTACAGCTGATAAAGAGTCAGACTGTGGAGACAGGAATGGCTCTCAGTTGGCCAAGGGCTGGAAAGAGTCAGTGCTATTCAAGCATTTCTCATGTGTCAGACTATGCACCATTGCATCTTCATTAAATCACTGAAAACCATTGTCTCAAAGGAGAACAAAGTAGTTCTGGTTATTCTTGATAAATCTGGTTATTCTTGATATTCTTTGAAAAAAATCACTGTTTATTGATCTGTTAAAAAGCAAGCATTTCACCTCTTTGAAATACTGATTGATCTCCCAAGGAAAAATTTAAGCTTGCATTTGGTAACAATCAGGCTGATTAATGGCACTGAAGCTGGTGCCCACAGGGCAGATGGGGATGGGCAGGGAAAAACAGGACCATGCGTGACTCTGATGGCCAGATGATGTTCCTGTTGTCCCCTTCAGCACCCGGGAAGAGAGTGGTTCTGATGATCTAGGCAGCTGGGAGAACCTAGCATGGAAAATGTGCCTTCCGATGGTTTGCTGGCTGAGAGATGGGAGGCAAACAGGACAGATACAAAGGGAGAAACTCAGAGGCTGGACTTAAAGATAGAAAAGGCTCAAATATTTCTTTTGTGTGTAACACTTAAATATTGTAGACCAAGGAAAGAGGGAGAGGGCTGGGGGTGGGGGTTAGGAAGGGGGGTGGGGTGGCTGGGAGAAGTGTGCATGAAGCTGTAGAAAGTATCCTTGACATAAATCACTTTACAAAGGAGGAAGCGAAGCCACCAGCGTGGGCGGCTAGCTCAGCCTCGCCTGCCAAAGCCCAAGCTGGCCTGAAGTTTTCCTACTCCCTATAGGACAGACCTGGGAGTTTTAAAGCATTTGATCAAAATCAAATTCAATACAGTCTTTAGAAGGATGCCAGCTTTAGAAATGAGGAAGTCAAGAGATGAGGATTTGAACATTTGAAACTCATTGTATCTCCGGGCAGGACCTCTGGGCCGGAAAGTCTGTTCGATGACAGATCTGACCCAGTTCCATATTTTGGTCTGGCTTACGGACAAAACCAGTGAGCTCTGAACCCGGTCTCGCACAACCCCAGCCAACACCAACTCAGAGATGGACGCGCTCTCCCGCCACCCGGCTGCCAACAGTCTTCCGCCAGACGCCACACTCAGGATCTGAGAAATGTGTGCAGTCGCCGGGGCCACCTGAGGGTGGTACAAAGGACCAGAACTTCACGAAAGACCGGCTTGACAAACAAGACTCCGACAACGCATTAAAAAAAAAAGCCACCCGCCCCATTGTCTCCAGTGAACGGAATGAAATTCAACAACTTGAGGACTTTCCCCATTAGAGCCCCCTTAAGCCTCTGGCTCAGGAACTAGAGGCACAGCCCAGGACACAAAGAGGCAGCGAGCAGCTGGCACCGCACCGGGTCAGAAGGATGGCAAAGTGCAGGCCAACCAGGGTGGACACCCCCACCCAAGGGCTCTGCGAACTAAGCCGATGAGCTTCCACGAAGGCAGGGCCCCTCCACGCCAGCGCGCCGCAGCGCCGTGGGCTCCGGCTCGCATCGCGCGTCGCTGGTGCCCAGTGCCCGGGGCGAGGCGCCGGGAACCGCGCGAGGGAAGAGGCGCTAGGTTGCCTTTCGGGGATTCCTGCAGGAGTTCTAGGGTTGGGTTTTGCAGCGCTACTGGCGCGCCGAAAAGCCCCTTCTCAGAGGTACAAACGTCACGGTCGCGATGGCCGCGTCGGGGGAAGGCGGGGGAGGGGGGGCGCCGGGCCGCCAGGTAGAGATTGAGCCGGCGCTGTGTGGGTCTGGGGACCAGCGCTCGGGACACGATCCGGAGCCCGGCGGCGGCTCGCCCCCTCCAGGCAGCAGCAGGCAGCAGCGGGCCGCGGGTCGCAGCGGCTGGAGCGCCTCCCCAACACCCTGCACCCCAACTCCCGGAGGGGACGCGCAGGGAAGAGGGGCCCGGCACCCTGCTCCTCCCGCCTCCACCTGCAGATCTGGGGCGCCGCACCGAGGGTTCCTGGGCTCCCGGCCGGTTCCCGGACCCTCCCGGCGAGCTGTCCCTTCCCTGGCAAGGACCGGCGTGTCCAGGCAGAACCGGCGCTTACCCGAGAGGGCGGCTCCGCGCGCTCGGCGCGCTCGCTCGGCGCGATCGGCAAGGTGCTGGCGGCGTCGCCGCGGCTTCAGCGGCCACCGAGCGCCGTGCTTCGCCGCTCGGGCTCGGACTTCCTCTTCCTCGGCCGCGGCCGCGCCCGGCCCGCCCCGCCCAGCGCCGAGATGCCGGCTCGCCGGCCGCGGCGGATCCTCGTCCCTCCTCCCAGCCAGCCGGGATCCTCGTGGGTCCCTCCTCCCGTCTGGGCTGGGGCGAGAACGGTGGGAGGCGGAGGGGGAAAGAGAAAGAGAAAGGGCGATTAAGCACTTGGACTGTCGCTGGAGCGTTGCCAAAAACGAGCAGTCAAATTACAGCCCTTGGGGGTTAAAAAGTTAAAAGGGAGAAAAAAAGAAAGTCAAGTCCCTGCTACTGTTTTCGCAGACACATCACTCTTCTTTTCCCGGGAGCTTCGGCTTTAGTTTTCTCTTGGACGTGATAATTGCCCGTTTGAGTTCTTTAAAATGATACTCAAAACAATTATTTGAGGGCAACGCTGTAGCATTATACAAAAGCAGCGGACAATCATATGTAAAAAGCGGTGGGAGGAAGCCCGAGTGTTCAGGCATCATTACCCTAATCACCTCAGTTAATGTACCAACTAACCTTTGCTCAGAGAGAGTAAAAGTGCCGAAGGAAGGCGAAGGAGCCAACCTCGGTAATAGTCCCGGGGAGGGTTAAAGACCCCGCGCTGCAGTAAAATTACGACTCCAATCCAAGGCGCCTTACATGAACTTCAAAGGCTGCAAAGTGATTTCTTACCACTTATCTTCCCTCAGAAGCAGACATATCTTGCTTGCCTATTGAGTTTCGTGATTTATTGTGCTGCTTTGTTTATAGGCTTCCAGCCGGCCGCATACTAGCTGTGTGACCCTAGGGGTTTATGCAGCCGCTCTGTGCCTGAGCTCCCTCACCTGTGCAAGGGGATAAGAAGACAGTGGGGCCTCCTGCACTTGCTGTGTGTGACTGAAACAAGGCGAAGGGCTGGAAAGGCGTAGCACATCATGCGCATCCTGCAGGAGGGGTGAAGGCTAGTCCATTCGGTGTTCTTGGTTTCCACCTCTCCTGTGCTTTTATGCACGTGGGTGGTCATGGAGATGTAATAAAGACATGGCATGAAGCAGGCTCTTGTGCCAGAAGCCACGCGGTGTCTCGCTTCTCTCCCTGCAACCTGCACGTTGTGTTCTGTTTGACTATTTATTTTGTCTCCACGCTGACTTGTATGACCTAAGGAGACTGGGTTATGATTGGAGGGCATTTGCCAGGGTCGATTTGCAATGGGCGTAAAACAGGCATTGGCCTTCCTCAAAGCATCCTTCCAGCTGGCCTTGCCAAAGCCTCATGGGGCGCGCAGGGCAGGTGTTGGCACTGCCGCAGACAGCAAACTGGAGCTCAGGATGTATGACCAGACCCGCGCCAGTGCCCGGACCTCACACAAAGCGGTGCCTGCCTTGAACCTTCCTGTTCTGACTCATAGGGTGGAGATAGCGCCTGTGAGCTACTCACCTGCCACTTCAAGCCCTCAGAGTCCAAGAACCTAATTGACAAGTGTGTTTGTGCTTGAAGGGTGGGGTTGGGGGCCAGCTGGAGAGGAAAGGAGGAGAGCAGGGCTTCCTGATTCCATGCAAAACACTGTCTCTGCGGCTCTCCTCCCTGGCCCAGCTAATCATGCATTTCCCAGCACAGTGGACTCCAAGTGAAGCAATTAGTGAAGCCATGTGACCTGACCACCACCGCAGGTGGTACAACTTGCCAGCTGCTCCCCCTAGGCAGGTAGCAGTTCTGAACTTTGGTCCTTGGTCTGTGGAAATGATTATTAGTTCTCCTGCCCAAGTCAGTTTATTAATAAGATGGGAGGTGGCAGCAGGAATGTGACATCGCTTGTCACTGAGTGCCAAACATAGCAATGGACACCTAATACACATTGTGTTTCACCCCAAGTCAGTGAATGGTCATGAAATCCCCTGGTCTCCCTCACTGTGCAGTGTGCATCTAATTTATCTGTGTGTCCCACTGCTCCCCTCACCTCCTAATGCAGAATATATGTAAAATGCTTGGTGGGTGGTTGGGCGGACTCACAGATGAGAGGACAAGAGCCGTGAGATATACTATGAGACATTTCTTGTTGTGATCTGTTACTCTGCCTTAGAGGGAAAAAATCCAAGGGAATAATTTGCTATTTGTGCCCCCACTATCAGGGAAATTCTTCTGGTAATAGATCTTCCTAGTACTATTGTTCGTCAAAGTCAAAAATGGCCAACAGATGCCATCGGAAGTAGCTTTGAAAGACAGAATTTAAGGCTAAGAATTGTCTTCATGAGTGATGCAGAACAGAGAATCTGAAAGGAGACGGTGAGGTCATTCAGAAATTAACCCAGCAGAAAGTGCCCTCCCAGGCTGCAGGGACAAAGGACGTCTCCAGTGAAAAATCTGTGGGAGCTGGGTAAATGGCCACTCCTTAGACACTGGCAGAGACGGGGAGGACTGCCCTCGTTCCTTCCCGCACTTCAGCTGGCACTCTTCTGCTTTCCATTTGTTGTAAGGGTACTTACGACCTGCAGCCAACAGAGGTGTCTCACCACCATCCCTGCAATCCTGTGATACTGGGCAGGAAGGGGGCAAAGAAAGACCTGAGAGCTGCCAGCCAAGGCTTCGAATATCCCTCTTTTTACCTGCTCCCCAAAGAAAAATCCCAAATACAATCTATGAACCAAGCTTGGGGTGGAGACAGTGGTTGTGAGTGTCTCTCATCATACCTCGTTCATTCCTCCAGTGCCTAGACCTGATACAATAGATGCCACAACCCCCAAATAACGTGCCAGGTCACAGACTCTCAGGAATTTTCAGTGACTTGCTCAAGGTCACCCAGATGAACATGACAGCTAGTTCCGGACACGGAGCCCTGCATTCCAGCTCCAGCCCCATTAACTCAGCTGTTTGCAAGGAAGGCGGCATAGCCGTCTAATCTGCTTTTGAATTGCATTTCAGGGTCACAATCCACATATGGGAGTTAATGTTTGCAAACCAGACTTAAAAGGCTGGATCATGCCTCACTTTCATTTTACAGCTTTCGGTGATAATTTTTATGATGCTGATGATAGCTGGACTGAATTTACAACCGCACAGGAATATTGAGTCCACAGGATTGGAAGTACACCCAGGAGACTTAACAGTAGCATTTATCTTCCTTTTTTTTTAAAATCTATTTCCATTTCAAATTTAGCTTTCAAAAAGTGATTCAGCTATTCTGCTTGCTTTAGAGAGACATGGGTAAGAGAAGGCATTTAGTGTAGCATCTTCTTGCAGGGAAGAAAGAAAACCCAACAAATACTTGGTGGTAGGTAACCTCTGCCTTCAGAATCTCCCCAGCCTGGAGCACCCATCCTTTTTTCAAGGCTCTAATAAGCTAAAAGACTTAAAAATTGAAGAGTTGTGCCAATGTCAAAGGGCCAAAGATAAAATAAGAAATGCCTGTGATTATTAGGATCTAGGTGAGTAGAAAAAGTTAAGGCCTCTTGAAAATCCAGACACCTCTGAATTTCTCTCTTGCTGACTGCAACACCCCACCTAAAATTCCCCTCACTCATCGTCATCTGGATTAAGACCTGGTGGCCCAGAAGCGAGTGCAAATCATGAGTTACGGAGGAAAATGGAAAGGAGGATTATTCCACCCATTACTGACTGGCAAAGTGAGTGTATCAGATCTTTGAAAGTGTTATTCCCTGCTAGTGGGGATGGCCACGGAGTGTGTGTGTGCAGCACAGAAACGTGTGAGGGTGAGGAGTGTGAGGTAACAGATTCAACATCTTCGTCTTATCCATTTCTCTATTTGCAGAAATGTCCTCGATTTTGACCAGTGTAGTAAAGCAAGAAGGATATTTGCTGCTTTTCACTATTGAAAAGGAATTTCAGGACCTGAAACTTTTCCACTTGGAGCTCATTCGTCTTGGTTATACGGACTCCAAAATTATTTTATGCAAATGATGTGAGCCTCTCTGTAAAACTGAGAATATTTTTAGTTGTATGATACTGAAAGAAAGCAGCACTAGATAGTTCCTGCTTCTACTTCACAATTCACTTTATCGATAAGTGCAATACAGGACATACATTTGGAAGTTTCTGAAACTTAACTTTGAGCTGTTTTTTACATAGTGGATGAACTGATGGGAGCTACTTTCAACTTCATTTTGTAAAAAACAATAAAATTGCATTGCTGCACCTGTAGAGTTATTTGGAAATGGTGGGGGGGTGGGAAGCCTTGTTCACTCTGCCAGAACTCCCCCTAGATTTGACACCTCACACCTGAATGCTTTCAGGGGCAAGGCCAGTAAAAAAATTGGTTGATCAGCTAAGGGTCTTAAGAATATGGTACCTACTTCAGACATATGAACCCCAAGTTTCTTGAATAGTGTTTGGCCAAACAAACGCTCCCTTAGCGAAGTTCTGCTTGGGCACTTGCTCCATGACTTTCACCCCAGTTGCTCCCAGATAGCTTTCCAGACACACCCACAAAAGGGATCTCTCTCCCCTCCTCTCTCCTCATTCCCTACCCCCCCCCGCCCCTCACCTAAAGACACAGTGTCCACTGCTTGAGAAAAAATTAATAGAAAATATCTTTCTTCCTTCTAAGAATTCAATGCCACACATCCTATCATTAAAATAATAAAATGAACAAAGTGAAAATGAGTACTTTTATGAAAATAATGAAACAATAAGCTAATGACAAGACCTCCAGAATTTTTTTTTCTTTCAAATCTTTTTCCTTTTCCAATTTCGAAAATGGACAGCAAATGGTTATGTTTGGTGAACATAATAATGACATGGTGGGCCCTGCCAGAATGGTGCAACCGGTTAAAGCCCAGCACTGTGAAGCTCTCCACAGCCACTGCAGCACGAGTTCGATCTCCAGCCAGGGAGCTGACCCACATGGCGCAGCAGACCTCTCCTGTCTCCTGGCTGCCTCAGCAGTGTGTTTCAGAGGATCAGCCTGTTCTGCTCCCCACTGTGT